AAAGGGGGAGACCAAAGTTGTTGAGCCAAAAAAAAAAAAAAAAAAAAAAAAAGACCCCGACAGCAGTTAAGAAAAAAAAATAAAAAAATAAATCAGCATGGGCCCTTTAAGAAGAGGCTTTTTTTGCCAGTGGCCATTTTGTTTTTCTGTTCCAGCCACAAGACAAGCCCATGCAGAACCAGGTAAGCGGGGACAGGCCCAGTTGTTGAGTGTGTTGTAGGGTTGCCAGGTGTCTGGTATTTTCACCTCCTGGCCGGGGAAAACCCCCCAGAAAATACCAGACATTTTAGGTGTCTGCTACTTTTTGAATTTTTTTACCAGACAGGAGGCAAAAATACTGGACTGTCTGGGTCAATACTGGACACCTGGCAATCCTAACCGATGCAGTCAGAGCCGGCTGGGGCACTCTGCTGCAAGAGGAGGTAGGCAGGCTCCCAGCTGGGCTCCTGGAGCTCTCCTGAAGGCTGCTGTGCTAAGCAGAAGGCAGGTGAAAGAGACTGGCTGAGGGGGGGCCCCACACCGGTAGGAAGGGCAGAGGGGCCTGAGGCCTCCCTCCAATTCCTATCAATGCTGCTTGTTGCTTGATGTTCCCCTTCCATCACTCTCAGGGAGTGAATGGAAGTTCCTTCTAAGCCACAGGGGGCTGCTTTGCCTTGTCTTTCTTGCTGGCAGGAGCACTCCAGGCTCCAGCAGGGCTATGTGAGCAAGCTCACTCCCCCTCCCTCGGAAGGGCAGAGGGGCCTGAGGCCTCCCTCCAATTCCTATCAATGCTGCTTGTTGCTTGATGTTCCCCTTCCATCACTCTCAGGGAGTGAATGGAAGTTCCTTCTAAGCCACAGGGGGCTGCTTTGCCTTGTCTTTCTTGCTGGCAGGAGCACTCCAGGCTCCAGCAGGGCTATGTGAGCAAGCTCACTCCCCCTCCCTCACCCGGCTGGCCCTGCCTCCTGCCTGAGCAAAAGGGCCTACCCCAGGGGTGGGGAACCTTTTTTGGGTTGGGGGCTGCTGATCCACAGAAAAATCAATCAGTGGCTGCACATAAGTGAGAAGCAAAAAATCCAAAACCAAAATAAACCCCCCTCTGAGGCAGCCTCCAACTGAGATGGGGAAAGACATTCTCTACATTCCCCTCACACACCAGAGCTTTGGAGGGCCCAGGCTAGTAGATTTTGCGAACTCTAGTGCATTGTGGGTAGGCGGGGGGCCAGACCACCAGCATGGACTCCCTAATACTGGGGGAGGGGGAGCCCCAAGTCATGGGGGCCAGATCCAGGCAAGCGAGGGGCTCATCTGGCCCCTGGGCTATAGGTTCCCCTCTCCTGCCTAAACAATGGGAGGGCCTAAGACTATAGCCTTATTAGCCTAATGGTTAATTCGGCCCTGCCAATAGGATATCAAAATAGAAACAGTAAGGTCCTCATTCTACCACTGTTATTTATATTTCCCTGTGATTAGTCCCAAGGATTTCAGTGTAAGGGTGACACAATTGGCCCCTATATCAATGCAATTTTTTCCTCTTGACTGATCATATCCAGATACCACAATGTTGCTTCTTACGAAGAGATATTAAAGAGACTGGGACTTTTCAGTTTAGAAAAGAGGAAATTAAGAGGGGATATGATGGAGGCCTATAAAATCATGACTGGCATAGAGAAAGTGAATAAGGAAAAGTTATTTACTTGATCCCATGACATAAGAACCAGGGAGCACCAAATGAAATTAATAGGTAGCAGGTTTAAAACAAACAAAAGAAGTGTTTTATTCATGCAACACACAATCAATATGTGAAACTCCTTGCCAGAGGGCGTTTTGAAGACTAGGACTTTAACAGGGTTCAAAAAAGAACTAGATAATCTCATGGAGGTTAGGTCCATCAATACTTATTAGCCAGGATGGGTAGGAATGGTGTCCTTAGCCTCTGTGTATCAGAGGCTGGGAATGGGTGACAGGGATGGGATCACTTGGTGATTACTTATTCTGTTCATTCTCTCTGGGGCACCTGGCATTGGCCATTGCTGGAAGACAGGATACTGGGCTGGATGGTCCTTTGGTGGAACCCAGTATGGCCTTTCTTGTATTCAAATGAACCCTGCCATTGTTTATATTATTACATAGAAATTTCAGGGATCTTTGTCTTACGTTCTCCTTTCTCTTCTCTACCTCTCTCATAATTCAAAATAGACAATGATTATTTATTTGTTGTATTTTCACAGTACCTAGGAGCCTTAGCCACACAGCAGGACCCCACTATGCTAGGTGCTGGGCAAACACAGAACAAGAAGATGATATTTTGTTTGAATTTGCATTGGTTATGCTAGAAAGACCAGTCAAATCAAAAGTTACCCTTAATTTTCATTCTGACCCAAATTCTTCCTTGGTGTAGAACTCCATTTGCTTTACACCAGAGATTAATTTGTATTTTCTTGACTCTTTTAATATAAATATATACTCTTGAATCAATGTGACTAGCCAGTATATGTCTTCTGGGCTGTTTACAGTCAAATAAATCAGAGCCCAACTACTGAATGTGATACATTTTAGCTGGTAATTTGATCATTTATTTTTCATGAAAATGACCCTGTAACACAAATATTTCTCCTAGAGAGAATTCTTGTCTATCTAGCCTGGTTTGGTGCTTAGATAGGTTCAGATTTTATAGGAGATTGAAACATTGATCAATGGGATGTAGCAGAAAGGTTTTGCAGAGATTTAGCTATAGTTGAGTCGACATAATGAATGACTCTCAGTATTTATTTCTGTCATCTATCACCGCATACTGCATCGCTGTCATTGTTTGTACTATTTCTAGCTTGCATTCAATTTTTCAGTAGCTTGGGAACCTCTTCCATCGATAACCTGTTTGTTGACAATTTCTACACAAAAAATGGAGATAGTTAAAATAACAGAGGGCCAGTTTGTTCCTTAACATGTGTATGTGGCAGCCTCCAGGGAGAGGAATGCACTGAAACAGTAGACCCTTCTTCTAGGAAGTTGCACCGAGCTGCTGACAAGTTCTTCATGTGCTAAGGGCAATATACTACTATGCACTTGTGTCACACCACAGGGCTTCCTATTGATACTTATCCTTTTAGTTTGACCTCTCTACTCTGCTGTTTGCCACTCTTACTGAAATAGCAGTTTAAAATTGAAAGCATGAGCAAGGCCAATGGACTTGTCATGCACTGTCCTTGGCTTAGCTACAATTATTTGACTTTCATCGTAATAATTACTAATATTTTATGGCTTTTTTATTTTAATACAAATCTCTCTTTCCACCCATGTATCAAGCACATCCAGTTTTCCCATCATCAATTACACGAGTGTTCAGCCTGACATAATTTTCTCTATATGTTTATCAGGGATGGTCCAGAACCAATGGCTACAAACTTTGCAAATACCCAAATCCAGATCCTAAGTGTGCAGTTTGGGCCAGTGTTCCCTATAAACTGTGCTCACAGGCAACCATGCAGAAGAGATTCAAATGCCACCCAGCTGATTAGCAGAGCACCCACGGCCATCTATAGCTGGCAGCATGTGTTTCTCTTGGTGGTGCATATCTACAATGTTTGGTGCACATAACAAAATTTATACCTCACAGGAATGGAAAAAAATTAGAGAGAACATTGGTTTGGGCCCATCCGCAATTTTTGCCTCTCATACCGTTTGGTGATTTTTACTCAGTGACATTGCACTGGAGAAAGATGCACGTTGCAAGCAAGTTTCTAATAATCCAAATAGCAGTGATTTTGAGTTTGCGCCTCTGCCTTTTTATGAGTAGCCTCAAACTCTCCTGGGTGATAGAAATACTGTTATTGTTGTTTAATATGCCAGTGTTAATCTTGATTGCTACAGTGGTGACAATTACATGCTTATGAAACCACCCCATCATTGTATTTTGCATGTACAGTAAAACTCCAATAGTCCGGCATCCAATAGTCCGGCACTACTGATAGTCCAGCATCAAAATGGCAAGAGCCTAGTGAGTGAGCTTCGGCAAAAAATGAGTCACAAGGTAGCAGCAGCTGAACTGAATGAAAAGGGTAAAAGATTAAAAAAGCTAAAACATTACAGTATACTGTATACAGTATGTACAATAAAAAGGGTTAATTAAGAACACTTTATATACAGTATATACTGTATACCAGTGGTCTCCAACCTTTTTACACCCAAGATCACTTTTTAAATCTCAGAACAGGCGAAGATCTACCGCCCCTCCCCTTCCTTGAAGCCCCGCCCTCTCTATTCTCCTCCTGTCCATCACTTGCTATCCCCAGCCCTTACTTACTCTGATAAAGTTTATTTTTAAATTATGCGATACATACAATTAAAATCACGTGTTTATAGTTATGAAATAAATGGTCTGTTTTTTATTCATGCTATTTAAATCTAAAATGAAGCATTTATAATTATACATTTTGTGGGGACGGAGTACTGTGGCTGGGGGCAGGGGAGAGGGAACAGAGTGCTGAGAGGGCAGAGGACAGGATTCTGCAGCAGGGGCCAGAGTGCCAGTGGGGACAGAGTTCGGGGAGTGGGGACAGAATTCGGGGAGTGGGGACAGGAGTGGGGACAGAGTTCTGTAGTTGGGGACAGAGGAGTGGGGACAGTTCTGTAGCTGGGGACAGAGTTCGGGGAGTGGGGACAGGAATGGGGACAG